TTTCTGTTATGTAGCTAGAGATTTATACACTTGCTTTCATCAAAAACGTCCCTGTGCCCACCCTTCCGAATGGAAAATTTGAATTCTTATCATTTTAACACCATTTACACTACATCATCTGACACAAAACATCATGGAACTTCTGTTTCTTACCTTTAATTTTCATTTTATGTATCTAGAGATTTATATACTTGCTTTCACCGATAACCTTACTACTTTCAACTCCTTGTATGAGAAGTTTGATTTCTTATCATTTTGATTTCTGATATGTTGCTTACGTGACCTCTTTTAACTATGTTGACCAGAGAGGCATGCGAGGAGTATGGTAAAGAAGCATAAAAATTACCTTTCAAGTTACTATAACTTGTATCTCTAAGCTTAGGGTTGCCTGCAACTTGCATGAATGGATATTTTAAAGGCCAATTAAGCTTTGTGCGGCTTAATTACTATCCTCCATGCCCTTATCCTGAGTTAGCACTTGGTGTTGGACGACACAAGGATTCCGATGCATTAACAGTCCTTGCTCAAGACGATGTTGGAGGACTACAAGTCAAGCGCAAATCTGACGGAGAGTGGATTTCTGTCAAACCAATCCCAGATGCCTTCATCATCAACATTGGTGATGTACTGCAGGTGCTAACTCGATTTTAAGACTCATTAGCTTGCTTGGTTTTGGCTATTGCTATCATTATTTCAGTACTACAATATTGCATTTAATTTAAGTTTCATTTGTTTTCATTAAATTTCTAAATTTTAATTATCTGATACATAGAATTTAGCCATATTTTATATATTTGGAGCATAATTGGGCCAAATTCACTTATATTTTCACTTATACAGTGAAGCTTTGTGCTTCCACTTGCCAAATATTGAATCATGAAAACATACATGTTTTGAACTGGATAAGAATTGGACTTTGAATTAAAATTTGAAGCAATCTCAACCTAAACTTACTAGGAAACCATTTTTATCATATCATGATAATAAGTAGCCTTGTCTCAATTTCTGAGTCAAATCTGGCTCAGACCTCCTGGTCTTGGAGTATATCAATGAGCCAACAAGAATGTTGGTCTTTTAAAACCGTGACAATTCCCTGACAAACCCTGATGATCATTCTTAGACTCGGCTGCGGAGTTGAGCTTGCCCGGAACCTTCAACTCTTTGATTTCATCCAGGTGGGCTAATACCAATGAGTCAAAAAGCTGTTGGTCATTCAAAGCCTTAACTACACATTTTAATTTTGATCACTGCCTAATCCAACCTAATTTTTTTTTCACATTGTGATGATAGTAGTTTATGTCTAAATCTTTAAGGGTTTGTGTTGCAGGTTTGGAGCAACGACGGGTATGAAAGCGCGGAGCACAGGGTAATGGTGAGTTCCGAGAAAGAGAGGATTTCGGTTCCATTCTTCCTCTTCCCGGCTCATCATGTCACGGTGAAGCCTCTCGAAGAGCTTCTACACGAGGACGAACCCACGAAGTACGACGGATACAAGATGGGAAAATTCTACGTCGCGAGAAATCGCAGTGATTACAAGAAGCTTACTGTCGATAATATCCAGATAGATCGTTTCAAGATGTAAATCGATCCAGACAGGCCAAGCTCTGGCTTCTGGTTTTTATTGCATTGTAAATATTGTGGTTGTAACAACAATACTATACTGAGGATTGGGGGGATTAGTGATGTAATGTTTGAGAGGAATTTGCAGAGTCATCTTGTTGTTATATTCAGAATATTTTCTTCCAATTCTACAAAAAAATACAAAACTTCAAACTCATAGCATTAAATATTTCCTTCAATTATTTCTTGAAGAATATCTAAAGGGATATGCTGCCACATGTTTCCACGTCTTTGAATAATGATCGTAACAAAAATTCCATTTGCTACATACATATATATATACACACACACACACACCATATAAAAACAA